CACCGACATCAGTCAAGACGATCAGGAGGAACTTAGGAACACTCGTCGAATTTGCACGATCACGATCACCATCTTTTCACCATAGAAAGAAAGAACCGACGCGACTTCACGATTCAACTTAACTTACACTAATCGACATATACTCGGTAGGGTGGTCCTTCGTCCCTTTAATCTTCTCCAGTTAGGTCTTTTAGACCAACTGTGTCAATATTGCAAAGAAGGTCAGAGTGGCTTTGGCAGCACATCTCGTTACGCTCTGAGTTACGACAACTACGACAGCACACTACCTAGCATAGATTGAAATCGATTGTTGATCTTTGATGATATAATATTGGTTTTGAGTCGAAAAGAGAATAACATGTCCGTTGTTCATTGTTCGTAGGTTACTTAGACAGTCTGTCTGCCAGTTCGTAGGTTACTTAGACAGTTGCATACTTGAAAAATTGGCTCATTAGTGGGACTTCGGAAAAAAAGAAAATTTTCAGAGCACCTGAAGATGCAATTTTGGTACTAGAAGTTGTAATCATAGTCAAAAAAATGAGAATAGTTATGCAGCGGTATGCTAACAGGATGAGAACAGTGAGGACGTTCAGAGTCCTCAAGACTATTGTATTTGGTACTGGAAAAAAAACACAAATCTCATAGCTTTCGTCAAACTACTGTGTGTGTATGTCAATAATATTGTCGTCCTCCTCATTACACTTGGAAGTATAGGGAGGACGACAATATTATTGACAACATACCCTTTACAGCATTGTGGTGAGTGTTGTTCTTGTTGTACTTGTAGTGCCCCGGCGTACTTGTATTCGACTGCTACTTGTAGTGATATCACTACAAATCGATGAGATGGCTTAAATGGCCACACATCAGTATGCAGCCTGTACCAAAACAACCATTGGGAAATGGTTGAGAATACCCAGAACAACAAACTTCCAACAAACTTTCAACAGTGGAATTCAATGCTGGATGGCCGTTTGTAATGTGTGTGTATGTCAATAATATTGTCGTCCTCCTTGTGGTGACTGTTGTTGTTGTACTTGTAGTGCCCCGTACTTGTAAGTAGTGCCCAAACTACAACCAGGGCACTTCGTGAAACAGAGTTGTGATATCCGGTCGCCTTAGCAGCTGAAACAAGCTGCTGCTGACACCTTGATGCTTCAAGCCGATCATGTCGATGTGGTTAGAGAGAGATTGCGAGATTGCCAGCAATATCATCTTGATCTTCAGCAACATACGCAAAAATATCAGTGAAGAGTATCTTTGTCATCACCAAATTCACTATGTATCAACACTATTTATCAACAGTGTCATCCTCGAGGTCGAGTACAGTCTGTCTTTCTACTCTTGAACAATCATCTGTCTCTCTTCATTCTCTTACAACGAGCAGATCTTCTTGAAAAAAATCCTGAGTGGTCGTGTATAAATTGTAAAGAAGCAGCACTACATAAGTAGCTGTGTCTGCGATTTGAAGCACTAGAAGATCAACTACCGTACGACTGTCGCAAGCCATAACTTTGAGACTTTTCTTGGAGAGAATTCTCCATCTCAAGCCAGCAATTTGAGCCAGGTAGGCCAGCAGCCGCATTAAAATGTTGCGCAATTTTCGTCTCGGGCTTCGTCCATACGCTGTGGGAAAATAATCCCTAGTAGGGCTAGACCTAGATGAGACATCTGCTGCCCTAGCAGATGTAGATGGTGCACCAAGACGAGGACTCACTTGTTAGAAGAACTGAAAGAGGAAAAAAGGGAACTCCATAGAAGAACTAAAGGGGTAAGAAAAGGAACATCAAGCAGAAAACGAACGTAAAAAGAGAACTTCTAAAAGAGTAGGTACGCCTCTAGGGAACATCAATAAGAACAAGAGGTCATAGAAGAGTTACTTGGAAAGCGAAAGGGTACTCTTAGAGGAAACAATGTGAATAACAAGTCTGAAGAGGGTGAGGGGAGCAGGAGTATGAACAAGAGCATGAACAGCAAGTCACTAAATATTGCAGGGTGGGGCTTAGGTAGCCTTCGCAGGGAGCCTAAAGAAATAGCAAAGAGGATGAAAGAAGAACCAACTACATCAAATAAGTAGTGCTACTATCCGAATCCTAAAGAGCAGTACTAGCTAAGGAGCCTACGAGATGAGTCTCAATCTTAACTTTTGGTATCTCGGTGTTTGCTAACTGCGTCCTCGCCACCTCTGTGGCGCTCGCCGGTCTGTTCAGGAGTGCCAAGATGGCCCTCGGTGCTTGCACTGCCATCATGGTAAAATCCACGGGGGGAAAAAAATATGTCGTGCGCAATGTTGATTAGACGAGGATTGAATCAAGAGCCGCCTCTTCTTTAAAAATTTTTGTGACGGATCGGGTCGGGTGCAGCGTGTTCCGCCAAGCCCACGGATCGGCGCCGCGAACTCCTCATGAGGCTGCGACTTAATACTTAACTAGAGACAAACTTCAGACAAACTTCCAACAAAGTCACAAGAATAGAATGATGCTGGTTGGCCGTTTGTAATGAATCAAGAGCCGCCTCTTCTTAAACAACTACTGTCACCATACGTGAGTAGATGACATGATCAGAGCCACTTGTTCCTGCTGATCATGTCTACTCCCGTATGGCGACGATATTGGTTGCTGAGAGTAATTGCTGCAGGCGCACCAGCTGCTATCTTCGTCCCTTCTTCTACAACTACTTTCTTAGATGAAATTCTCTAGATGCTACTCGATGAATCATCAGAAGCGGTCTTAACTTATGCCCTTCTTCCCTGCTGAACCGTGTCCCAGGGCTCCTGTAAGCAGAGCTGTATGCGTATCGCAAATAATTGTAGGGGATGCCGCTTTTTAGAAGTCGTAGGTCGTAGACTAATTCTAGTACAAGAATGGCATGGTGGATAATAATTACACCAAAAATGTTCTTGCACCAGGAAGTGGGAGCCTTCAATCATCACGAGGACCACATGGCTTCACTAGTAGGAAAGGCAAGACTACTAATTTGGCTCTAGAAATCTGGACCAGTCTGTCTTTCTGAAAGGATGAAAATACTGCCAGGACGAGCAACCTTCTCCTACACGCCCAGCCACAAACACACGCACCCAGCCACACACATGCCCACACACGGCCCACCCGTCCGCGGGTCTATCTACCCACACACAGATCCACCCGCGTACGGGTTTGCCCGCCCACAAACGTACCGAGCGCGCTTGTTCCTAAAACCTAAAGACGTGGCCGGCGACTTGTAATACCAAGAAGGCGAGCTACCTTCTTCTACTTACTAACTACACCGCAATAGCAGGAACGACCTTTTACTACACCTCAAGCAAAAGTAAAAGCCTAGCCTTAAAGAACTTTCATGATGAGATTGGACGTCTGGGTCTGCTACACCAGTTGGCTGGAAGGGCATCTCGAAGCCCATCTTTGGAACGAGCTCGGAAGGGAGGGTTTTGCCGATCACGTTTACCGCATCAGCCCAGCGTTCGCGTTAGAAAAATAGAGATATTCTGGAACGACGTGTTGAGCCTGATCCTCTGGAAATAATTCTGAACTAAAAAGTGTTGACATCAGTTGGATCCAAAAATAAGCTTTGAAGCGGAATAAATTTTCTCGAGACTTGTGTTACGCTTTTCTTCTCATCATCCTCATCTTCTACCACCTTTTTCCTCCACCACATGCCATCATCATCACCAATGGAAAGGTTCACATCAATGGAGCAAAGGTTGACATCAAGATCAATGGAAAGGTTCTCAAGAAGACCATGTTTCTCTCAGTAGCAGCAGAGCAGAATATTTAGGAAGGTTTTCAACAAGAATTATTGTCTGAATAGGCTCTCATCAATGTAGAACAAGTGAACACTCTTTGTAAGTCACAAGAGGAAATTCAAATCTAGAAAAAGAAGAAGACAGAGGAAGAGTAGTCGAAACATAGACGAAAACGAAAAGCAAACGAGTGCTCACCATCACCTCGCTCCCAGAGAAAAACGAACGATGATGGCAGTCTGCTGTTCAAGGAACTATATAGTACTTCGCTATTTATTAGTTACTTATATATCGGTACGTCGTGAGAGAGAAAATAAAAAATAATAAATAAGTATGTGCTTATACCTTTCCCATAATCAAGAAGATAGTGAACAGGAATGCCAGATCTGAGATCTTCTGCGAAAAAGTTCCGGTTTTTTTTCCCGGATTCGTCTGGCAATCGCGACGTTGCTTGTGCTCGTTGCGACGTCGCTTGTGCTCGTTGTGAAAGCAGCGCCTGTGCAATGTCTTTCGCTACCGCGTACGCCGCAATTGCTGCTTGCTTCTCATTCGGGTGTTTCGCCGTGTCCTGTTCAAACTGTTCCGCCCGGCGTTCCAGCAGTTTCGCTGCCCTCTGCGCCAGGTGGAGGCCCTCGATGTTCCGTCCGGCTATCTGCGGCGGGGCCTCCATCTCCTCTCTTGCGTGCAAATAAGACATCATCCATTGCGCCAACTGTCTCACCCTCACCTCTATCGCCAGGAGGCACGTGAACGGCGCCACTGATTGAAAGCGCCGATAGGGGAATGGCGACCCTCCTTAGCTTTCTTACTTGCTTCGGAACGCCATTCCCTTTCCTTAGATGTCAATCAGTGGCATCGTACAAGCCGGGTTGTCGCTCGCTCCCTCAGTTATTATTGCTATTGCTCGATCTGCGAGCTCTTTGGCAAGCTTCTGTGCTTCTCGCTCTAGTGATTCTGGCAGTACGTCGGCCCCCTCCTCCTGTGCCAGAAATTCCGCCGTCTGCTCTACCAGCAGTTGCGCCGTGTCCTGTGCCGATCTGGGTACCCAGTTGCTGTCCCCGTTTGGTCCCACCTTTTCCAACGCCATCTGTAGCAGCATTTCCGCACTACTAGGAGTCCTCTGTGCCGCCGCCTTTGTGCTGCTAGGAGTCCTCTGATATCGTAGTTTCTCCTGTCGTAGTTTCGTCAAGTCGGGGCGCACACGTTGAAGTCCCTCCGTCTCCTTCTCACCAATTTTTACCGGCAGTATCATATAGGACGCAGCCTTGTATACGAGTGAGAAGTCTTGCTCTATGCGGTCTCGCATTGAAATGAATTTTTCCAGCGTCTGCTGCGCCAGCAATTGCGCCGTGCTGTCTACTTCTCGTAAGGCTTGCTCCTTCTTCCTCCTTTGCTCCTGTGTCAGCGTTTGCGCCTGCTGTTGCGCTTGTCTGAAGAGAATGTGCAACGCCGTCTCCTGTGCCAACAATAGCGCCGTGGTCAGGTCGTGTACCGTCGGCGCGTTTAGTCTCAGCTGTGACGCGGCCAGCTTTTGCAGCGATTTAAACGTTGTTTGTGTCAGGAGCGATGTAATTTTCTTCAGAAGCAGAGCACCATAATAGTCTTGCTCTGACGCCATGAATCCGCGATCCTGTTTTGCCAGGGCCTGAGACACCCCCTTTCGCAGATCCTCCGCTTCCTCCAGTGCTAGAGTCTCCGAAGAGGAAGAACTGTGCCTCTTGGAGAACAGCTCGCTGTGCAGATGCGCTTGCAGTATCAAGTCTTCCTGTGCCACCATTTGGAGCTCCATCGTTTCTTGCGCCAGCACGTGCGCCATCTTCCCCACAGCTTGTTCCCTTGTTCTTTCCTCCTGTGCGAGCGATTGGGCTTGCTTTGCAACCCATCTCGCCGATGCCGATAATGTGGATGGGGTCACCCCCTCCCGCGTCACCCTCCTTGCGAACAAATTCCTCAACTCTTTCTTTGCAAGCGACTCTTTCTCGTCACCTTCAAGTGGAGGTGCTCTTTCCGAAATTGTTTCCACTAGCGATTCCGCATGCGCTGGTAGCGAGGAAACCTGCTGTGACGCGTTCAGCGTTGACTCCGCTGCATCCAGTGCCAGCAATCGCGCTGTCTTCAGTGCCAGCAATTGCGCCGTCAAGTGGAGCTGCGATGGCGATTGCTCCTGTACTGGTTCCTGCGCGGAGGTCTCCTCCGCTAGAAGCAGTTTCGTCGTCTTCTCTGCCAACAAGAGTGCCAACTTGTTCTCTCCAAAGTCGTGAATTCTCCCCTCCTCATCTTCTGCTTGCGCCGATTCTTGTACAAGCAAATACGCCTGCAAAGTGAGGAATTGCAGAAACGCCTGTAGCGGCCTGCGCGTCGCCTTCTGTCCCAGCACTGGCGCATACTCCCCATACTCGCACCATCGCCGCTGCCACTCTACCGCAAGCGCCGACCAATGGACGAGTCCTCGTGCTGCTTCTTGGGCTACTTCTACCTCACCCAGTGCTTCGCGTTTCAGAAGCTGCGCGGTCTTCTCTAGCACAACGTGAGCAGCGCGCGCGCCCTCCATATGTTGGATGACGTTTCTCCCATCTAGCCAAACCATCACGGCTCCCCTTCTCCCCCTATAAAAACTTATAGTCATCTACGGCGGAGCCTCGATGGTCGTAAAGATGGGATAAACATCATGATCCAGCATACATCTTCATCAATAGTATGCCGTCAGTCTTCTCCATCTCTTTTTTCAACAAGTTGGCCGCACCCTCTAGCAGCGATGCCGCCGTCCACTGTCTGACCACTTGTTGCGCCCTCTTTAATTCTGATCCCGGGGTCGCCCTCTCTGCCGCAAGTGTTTGTTGAATCAGCAGATCTGTAAACGATTTCATATCGTTCTCTAGTTGTAGTACTGGCATGTTGTCCTGTAGTTCTACAGCTTGTTCTGGATCCAAGTTTAGCGAAAGCGACAGCTTCGCGATCTTCTGTACCAAAGCGATCCGTGCTTTTTGCACTGACGAGGAGCTTTCTCTCTGGTCCTGTGACAAAAGTCGCTTGATGCCCTGTTGGAGCGAATCCGGCTTCAATATCAGCATGTTCATTTCCATTAGCTGAAGCACCTCCGATTCCGGTACCTGCGGTTTCTTCAGTACTGAGTCCTCTTTCGTTTCTTCCAAGAATCGCTTAGCACGTTCTTTGTTCGCCTGCTCAGGAACCAGTTTAAGCACGTGATCTTTCAGCACTTCATATGCCTTCTTGAGCCTCTTCCGAAAATCCTTCTTGTTTCTCCTCTTGTGTTCTTCATGTCTCGCTCTGCTTTACTTAGAACTTCTAAGTTGTACAGGGGGAAGAAGATGAACAAAAGATGAAAGAGTGAAGAACAGCAAGGAAAAGATGTTGAACAAAAGATGAAAGAGTGAAGAACTACAAGGAAAAGATGAAAGAGTGGAGTAGCTTAGGTAAGGATTCTCTTCTTGTTTTCCCTTCGGAAAATCTGGTGAACAACATGAAGAAATCTGCACGACACACTACAACTATTAGTACGTCGACACACAACCATATTAAGTTAAGTATTAAGAAGTGCACTTCATCTACAAGGAGCTCAACACTATTTACAATACTTCATACGTTGCCACTTTTGTATTCGGGTGTCGAACCGCTCATCCTCCAAAGAGACAGGCAGAGGCGTAAAAGCAGCGGACAGCCTCAGTTTGCATTCTGCATGCGCACTCCGCAGAATTCCAGAGGCGAAGATCAAAGATTGAAACTTTTTAGAGTAGGCATCAAATTTATCATCTGTACACATCTATATACGTGCTGACTCTACTTGATGGAACTGTGCCTTTAATTCTATAAGCCCTGTAAGTATTGTACTTGATGGAACATACAACCGTTATCATGATTCTACTTGATGGAACAATCGGAATTCTGCTTGATCATGGAACGACCGTAATTCTAGTTTATCATGGAACAACCTCTGTAATCCTCTACTTGACTTTAGGACAACCTGCAATGTCAAATCTTAACTTTAGGAAAATCAGCAATGCGACGTTCGAAAATATCTAATCTCGCATTACGACGAAACTCAGCTGCATCACTATCCGGAGGCCTTGCACCCAGACGAAATCGTTCTTCCTGCATCTCCAGAAGAGCTACCTTGTGGTAGTCGGTGCTTAACCCTAATCCTGTGCCTGTCTGTTCCTTTCCTCTTGGTGCTGTCTCTTTCAGTTTCAACAGGTCTTTGTTTTAGACCTTCGTTTTCCCTAAAAAATCCATCTAGTTCAAGAAGGGCATCTTCATGGAACCTTTCTTATCTAATCTCCCATGAAGATCATCCTAGTAGAGAGAAACTAAGACAGAGCGGCCCTTTTAAAAAAAGGAACCTGAGGATGACGCTGTTGATTTTAGAACCCCAGGAAGAGCGTTCATGGTCCCAAGAAGATCCTCCTCTAAATGGTGAATGGACTACATTTTGACTGATTGTGGACAACAGGGCATATTAGCCTTGCCAGTAGTACTAACTCTGATAGCCAGACTGACCGCGCGATAACAACTCTAATCATGTATGTAGAGAAAGTTGTGCCGAAAACCCTTGATCTTCCGTTGTTGAGCAAAAAAAGGATGGAGATCAACTAATCAAAAAAAGGATGGAAATGGATTGGTGGAAGCCTTAATTGTTGTAGTAGAAGAGTCTGCTCGTGTCGTGGTGAGGCAGACGAGGCATATGAAACGGGTTTAGTTCGTACTCCTTCTTCATTTTCCTGCGCAGGTCCTGGATCCTTTGAAGAATTACCGGGACCCTCTGCGACATACCAAGGCCACTCAGATCTATCTTGTGTTAGAGGAGGTCCCCGCAGAAGTGATGTTATGATCTTCTGTGGACATCTTTATAGTGCTGCGTAGTAGACCACACCAGCAGCTCCTCGACCTGGTGGATCTTGGCAAGAATATAAGAACTACTTGAACTTGTAAAAATCAAGTATTTTACGAATCTTACACGGACCACGTCAAAGACAAAGACCAAGACCTTCCTTAATCATCGTAGTGCCTCATTACACCTGTTCTGTCGCTTAAATCGCTATGATCATGGTCCTCGTCCCCTTCGCGGGGGCTTGGCCGTGCCCTACTAGTAAACCACGTAGTGGAAAAATCTACTTGACGACTTCCACCTGGTGTACTCCCTCGTAGTCGTCCCCGGTCGCGGTCCAAGAGATCGGGGAGCTCGATTCTAGGCAGAAGGGAATATTCTTATGACAGGAAAAAGCTAAAGCGTACTGGCACTCACACAACTGCTCGAGAAACTTCTAGGTGGGATAAAAAAATATCAGTGAAGAACATCAAGAGTAGAGATCTGCTCTAATATAATAGTTTCAAAGTGATGAAGGATGAGAAATATTTACGTGAGATGAAAGTAGCCAGGATAGAAGCAGCCAGTATAGAAGGATAGGAAGTTTTATGCGCTGTCCAGCACAGGGACAGGGAAAACCTGTACCCTAGCCCTCGTCCGCAGGTGATTAGCTAGCATGATCTAAATTTACGTGGGATGATAGCAGCCAATTTTTTGTGAGTACTATGAGTACACTTTAAAACAGCATAATAGAGAAGGTCGCGCCTCGTTTAAGCGGTCCAAAAGGGTAGTGACAAGCATGTCAAAAGACCGCACGTAAGACAGCACCATGCTCTCGCGTTCCCGGTACGCACGCTCACATGAAGCCGAAGTCATCCCACTCTTAGAGCTGCCCACGCAAATGCATCTTGGCACCCAATTTGGAGCTGTTTTTGTCCCCCCATGGGACAGCTCCAAGATAGATGCTTCGGAAGATGGATTAGCAGGGTAATAACTTGTACTTCCCAAGCCTCTTCCGCGAGATGCCTGAGCCAGGGAGTGTAGAACGCGCTGTTCGGACCCAACAGGTCTTCTGGTGCTACACGAAAAGACTTCATGATCTCTCCAACTCCCGATGATCTAGAAACTTTCACATCGTCGAGTCCATGAATGGCGCCACTGATTGAAGAGAACCAACTACGTAGATAAGTACGACCAAGGGAATAATGATACAAACTCGAGGACTTGATTTCCTCTTCCTGTGGCCCTACTCTGGTGAGGAAGGGCAATTTTAATTTCGGAAACTATTGTTATAGTACCACGACAATAGATGCAGTAGAGAAGATTGTCAACAACACAATTATACGAAGAAGATTCATCAATACAACATAATTCCCTGTAGTTGTACTAGAACTAGTTCTTCATTCTCAATCAGTGTTTCCGCCATACGAAGATAATTTAGAAGGAGGTCCTTCTTTTTTGCTGCTTCTAGAATATAATGCGCCACCTTCTTTGCTGCCGGAAGATGCGCCTTTTGTTCTTGTAGTCGTCCCTTTCTTCACCTTCACTTTGATCTCAGCTGACGTATATGATGATGATGAAATCTCACCTGCCGCACCACCTTCTGAAAGATTAACGCTCTCATAACGCGGTGGTCTTTCTGTTTGTTTCTTATCCTGTTCTTGCCTCTTCATCCTCTTGTTCTCCTCTAGCTTCCTCTCCTGCAGATACTGAGAAAACCGTTCTACAAAGTGAATTTGGGACAGAGGTTGCATCGCCATCCCCAGATGGAATTGCCGCATCGACGATAGTGTATGTGTTGTTTTGGGCCAACTATCGGGTGCAATTCTGCCA